CGTCGTGCAAGTTTAATCACTAATAATAGTGAATCATGACTGTTAAGCAATTAAACCACTTAATTGTTCTTTTTTGCTTATATTTAATGCTCAATTGTGACGGTAAATATCAGTATTTCAGCGAGTTTTTAACGTCATACGAGTATGAAATCTATCTTTCGCAACGTGTAAATCAGAACAAATCAGTGAACTGCTAAGACAAGAAACGGTCTATTTCTTATCTGATTAGCACCGTGGTCGATGCCGGAATAAAAAAAGGTTGGTCTCACCCATATCTAGTTGTAAGGCTTTTTATATGACAAAAGAGGAAATCATTTTCTTTAATGATATTTTTGTAGATCAATTTCGTTAATTTGAGAGCCGATTTCATACGCAAGTGCAGTAAAATATCAATTTGGCAATCAACATACACACCATAACCTTTTTGGCGTCGAAAAATAATCAAGAATGGTACATCAGGTATAAAAACAAAATAAACAGGAAGGGAACTATTCGCTTGACAGCACCTCTTGACAATAAAGGGAAAAGAAAACGGCGAGTTTCCATTTCCAATACTAGTGACAACTGTTACTTTCGTTCGCTATAGAGTGTAAATGATTGACTGAACCAAGAATCAAGGTCCAACCTCAATTACACAAACTCTTGTGTGTTGTCCTAGACTGATTAACTGCTATTTTTTTTGTTTATTTCTCAGGACGACCATATGACGGCAGAAGCTGAAAGTACTGAAACTGCTTTACTGAATCAGAATGCTGATCCAAGTGAGTCAATTAACCCATGCTACTAGCTATTTCAAGCTTGTCTCAATTTTCTTGCTATTATTGATAGATTGAGACAAGTATCGAAACTCATCATTGTAGATTGCTTAGATCGCATCAGCACAACGATTATATAGATCTATCGTGAAGCGGCTAAAATTGATTGAGAAGACACGACAGACCTTTTTTGGCTTCAACAGACATGCAAATCGTTTCAACAGAACAAAAGCGTTAGCTACGGAGATTTTCGAATGCGCTCTGTCAACTAATGAGATCAGCAAATTTTGAATCTTCAGTTTTCCAGAGGACTTGCTAATAACTGTACTTTGATTGCAAAAGTTTTAATCTTTTGAAAAAAAACTACAAATGAAATTAAGTCAAAGATGATGATGATCTTTACTAATACTTTGGTTTTGGAAAAAATACTCATTCGCTGTATATAGATCGCAATAATGAACTTTACTTGTTCAGCATTTCAAGAAACAAATACTGGCCTTAGCATACGAAAGAGCTGAGTTGGGTTCTTCGTAAGTTTTTCAAACACTTGAAGAGAAACTATCTTCATGAAGCAACAGGAACAATTCATGTACATTGTATATCATAGCAGGTATATAGAAAAATATATGATGAACAGATAATATTTATAGTTGGTTTTACACAGTAGATATAGTGTAATGTCATGGCTTTTTTTTTTGAAAAAGTTTTTTTTACGAAACGAAAAAATCTGCGATAGTGAATCGAATAGTCACGCCAACACGTTTACATAACGATTATAGTGGATGTATGCCAAAACCGCCAAGTTGCAGAAAACTCCTACATATTCTCGAAGTTCGAAGTAATCAACAGCTCTTCTGTCTATAGTGCATTTCAATTTTGTGTTTTTTTCTTGGAAACGATCAGATTTCCAAGGGATTATTTTTTGGCAGCAAATTAATTTCAAAAGATCGTAAAAACTAAAATGGAGTGAAACTCTTCTTGAACAATTCTGATGGCTCAATATTTTACAGAAAAAAAATGAGACTAAATTGTTTTTAATTTACGTTATTAATTATACAGGTATATCCTGTAATGGAGTAAATAATTCTCGACAGAATAATTAAGAATGTGTACATCAATATCATGGTGTTGGCTACGAGTTTTCTTTATGATGGAAGATGTTCTCTCTTGTCATTCTCGTAATTTTCCTCTGACTATAGTTCTGGCAAGTAAGTGATATGTGTCTATGGCATGTCTTGTTCCCTTTTGTTCTGACATGAAGATTTATTCATCTTTGGTCTTTTGATGATGTTATAGTGGTGAGTGATCAGTGACATTGGATGTTTACGCTCCATTATAGAACGCGTCTTCAAGCTTCTGTAAAAAGCCGATTGTAAAGAGTCTTGAGACTGATACTATCATGAGAAAGTAAAGATGCAAAGTAAGATTGTTTTGAATGCTTTTTTTTTATTCTGTCACAAATTTTCTTCGATTTAAAATGGTTCTCAGTTTGCTTTTTGCTTGTAGCTGCTACTTTCGCACAAGAAAATCCTTTGTCACATCCATCATATCCCGTCCATGTAAAATATGTTACATTGGTTGCGTTGACTCTACATAATGTTATCAACCTGATGGTTATGCGTCACGTGCGTAGTACATCGGGTGCGCGTTTCATTATTTCGACGTTTGTTTTAATTGTTGAAATACAAAAAGCAATATTGAGTATGCTGTTGATTTTTGGTGAAGAACGCAGTTTGGTCAATGCCTTGAAAAGTATTTATAACAAGATTCTGCTACAACCGCAGGATACGATAAAATTAGCCATTCCAGTGCTAATCTATACTGTACAAAATAATCTTAACCTTGAAGCTATTTCAAACCTAGATGCAGCTACTTTCGTGGTAAATAATCGAAAGCCCACCTATGATTTGTTCGCAAATGAATTCAATTGTTTTTGTCTTTTTCCAACCAGGTCGTCAATCAATTGAAAATCTTCACCACGGCAATTTTCACAGTCATTATGCTTCATCGTCGTTTAGGTCTTCTTCAATGGTTTGCATTGTTTCTTCTCTTTTCCGGTGTTTCTCTTGTGAAAGTCGAAAATCTTTTGTTCAAGGCACCTAGAAAAGATGTGAATGCGGTTGTTGGATTGCTTATGGTCATTGGTGCTTGTGAGTATATACCAGTTTGAGTCTGTATTGATTCAATTTTTCGCGTTCCTTTCAGGCATATGTAGTGGTCTTGCTGGCGTGTATTTTGAAAAAATACTCAAAGGCAGCAAAGTCTCTCTTTGGATTCGCGAATTACAGTTAGCAGGACTCAGTCTGATTTTTAGTTCTTTAGTAGTGTACATTTTGAACAGAGAACAAGTGAAAACACAAGGCATTCTATTCGCTTATACTCCTATGGTCTGGATCGCTACTATTATTCAATCAGTAGGTGGATTGATTGTTGCATTGGTGATCAAATATGCTGACAACATCCTCAAAGGTTTTGCTTCTTCATCGGCTATTATTCTTTCGTGTATTGTCAGTATGATTTTCTTTCATTTTCAACCTGGCATTCTATTCGTGCTTGGCTCATTGCTTGTTATTTTCTCGATTTTTCTCTATACCAAGCCGGACTTAGTGTTGCATGTATCTATTATTAATTCGTTAGTCAAAGATAAACCAGCTTTTTTCTGAGGAAAAAAAATAAAGAAATCTGTAGTCACCCATCGTGATAAACATGCATGTACAACGCCAGGCGATCAAAAGGTGCTGTCAATATTCAAGTTGCACGCGAGAGAATAGCTTTGAAATGATTTTACTGTGTGGTTGCGATGGTTTCAAATCGAAGCGCATTTAGAATGATATGGAATCCAGAAATATATTACAGTTTTTTTACGCTATTCGGGTGGGCAATGTTGCAAATGTTTCGAAATTGCGCTAGCATAATTCACTGGCATCGAAATAACCAAACAAATATATTCATATTTGTCTCTCATCCACTTATAAATCGTAGACCATTGATATTTTCTTTGCTAATATGTTCACATATATTTGAAAGGCACACGGACAGATTGAACAATATAAGCGAGAATAGCCTTTAGCACAGTATTTATTTGGCTACTCTATATTCACAAAAATGTTTCTTTCTCAGAGTGCTCATCTTGAAACAATAGCGTATTGACAGACTTAACAAGATTACTATGTAATCGTCTGTGTCTCATAAGCACAAACAATAAAAAGAAGAAAAAATGTTGTTGTCGGATGATATAGGAAGAAATACATTTTTGAAAAGCAAACATTTCTTTTACAATAGATGTTGATGCTTTAATAATAACCATTTTTCACTTTTAATTTCTTCTTATAACTCCTGAATCATCTTACTTTTGATAATCATTGGTTGAAATTATGCCTTCTTCTATACTTATGTATAGGCAAGCATAAAAATCATATATTTTGAAAGATATATAATGTTACTTCTCTCTATTTGACAAATGGAACGTTCGGGTGTGAATAGGGATGCACCAATTCCACTTCCGACCAATTCCAATTCTTAGAATTGGTTGGAATTGGTCGAAATTGGCATTGGAATCAGTTTGGAATCGGTCTGAAAAAAATTGGTAAGTGACTGATAATTTGTCAAAATATGTGTAAAATCATTGTTTTACAAAAACCAATTCTGACCAATTCCAATTCCGGCCAATTCCAATTCCAATCCCAAACCAATTCCAATTTCACCGAATTCCAACCAATTCCAATTTCACCGAATTCCAACCAATTCCAATTTCACCGAATTCCAACCAATTCCAATTTCCAATTCCAAACAATTCCACCAATATCAAGCCAAGAATTGGAATTGGAATTGGAATTGGAATTGGAATTGGTTGAAATTGGAATTCGTGCATCTCTAGGTGTGAATGTGGGTGTGGGTATGGATGTGGAGTGGGGGTGTGGGGTGTGGGTGAGTCTAAATACAAGACCAATACCAGCACTCATACCTACATAGCACATCTACACCCACCCACACCCACACCCCACACCCACATCCACACCCACATTCACACCTAGAGATGCACGAATTCCAATTTCAACCAATTCCAATTCCAATTCCACTTCCAATTCCAANGAAGGTATACAAGGTTTAGCACGTAATCAATTTGAAATTGAAATGCGAAATAAAGTTGGAAAAATACCCGGAAAATTAGATCATGCATCAATTGTTGTTTATCAAGTCAGATACTAATTTTTGCTGATTTGTTTTTTTTTCTCTCATTGATTTTTATAGTGTTTTTTTTTTTCGACTATAAACATAAGCATTTGAATCACCAATTATAGCTGAACAAACAATCCATCGCCGATTCGATGGACAAACAATACTAATAGTTAATGTTGTCAGTGAACCTTCATTGTCAAGAATTAATTGTTGAGCTGCATCAATCGCTACACTTATTCGTTCGAATACATCCTACAAATAAAATTTTGATTCAACAGCATAAACTATATATATATATAATACTTTTGTAGTATTTAATTTCCTTTCAAATAGTTGCTGATTAAGACTAGCCATCGCGCCATGTACTGCACATCGAGCAGCAAGTCGTGGTTTATATCCCCAGTTAACACCATCAGCAATTGATAAAATAGCATTATTTTCTTGTGCACATATTGCAAAGCAATCAGCTATTGGTTCACCTAAAATAAACATGAATAATTTTTTTATCGAAAAAAACAACTATAGATGAAATAATATATTTTACCATTTACTTCTCCTGTAAATGGATTATGATCATAAAGTGATGTTGACAGACCACAAGCAAATTGTTCATTAGCCATTTGCCAATTGTATTGACCAGCTACTTTTATGGAATTATTCACTTTTAAAATTCCTTTTTCTAGAAAGCAATTTTGAAAAACAAAAAAAAAAAAAAACAAGCATATGTTACTTTGATGACGAGCAATATCAACTAAACCAACATCCGGACCAGATTCACATGCAACTGTATTTTTACTTAATGGTGAGATTGCTTCGACAGGTAATTGTAAATAATCTTCATTTGAATAAAGATGATAAGGATGAAAAGTGCTCGATGATTGAAAACTATAAATATTCATATGAGAAGAAACAAAAAAATAATCTTCAGAAATCGAAAGACTTACAAAGAAGCAATTTTTTGCCATGTAAATAGTCTTTCTTTATTCATCTAGAAATACAAGAGAACAAAAAACAAAACAAGGCAAAATATCATAACCAATTAATAGAAAAAAAACAACGAATCATTGTTTTATTTCGTTTCAGTTAAAATAGTTGGCATCGTACATGTAATATGAATTGTCGATACCCAACGTGTATCATTCATAGGTTCAAGATCATCTAATAATGGCATTAAATGATCAGTTACTTCAATACTTGCTATTTTTGTATGTAATTGACAATTTGTTTTTAATTGAAATTGTAATGCTAAATTAATTGTTCTTTGTAATGCTGAACCCATACCATGAATAAATATTTCTCTATAATTTCCATTTGATGATATTAATTTCATACAACGTTCTAATTGTGCTTTAAAATTTGTTTTACGTGTTACATAAATATCATTTGGACGTTTAGAAAATTGTTTATTATTAAGACGTTTAAATATAGTATATTCTTCTGGATCACGATAAAATTTTTCTTCACTCATCTAAAATAATTTTTTTAAAAAAATAAATAAATACAAAAAAACAAAAAAAAAACTATTTTGTTTTTATTTTAAATTTGGTAAAGATGAACCAAAATAAACTTTTAAATCATTCAATGTTGTTCGAACAAGTTTAGCACGAATAGTTTCAGATTTTAAACGTTTATGAGCTCTAAATATAAGAATATTCATCAAAACAAAAATAAGACATTCAATATTTAAATAAACAAAAAAGAAAAAAGAATCTTACTCCCAACGATGACAACCACCCATAGCAAAAAAATAATTATTTCCTGAATTAGGTGCTTCATACCAAAGAACATCAATTGGAGGAACTCGATCAGATTCTATTGTCTAAATGATCGAACAATTCTATATTAAAACAAATATAATTATTTATTTATTATCACTTGAATAGTTTTCATTAGGGATTGAACTTTATTTTCATCAAGTACAGATGGTAATGGACGACTTATGTCTTTCATTGGTATATCATATATTTCAATAATTGATGCTGAATGAATTGATGACGGTTCACTAGATGAACATGCACTATTTATCTGCGATGAACTCATTTTTATGATCGAGTAGATAGACGGGAATAATGTTGTGGAAAAAATATTTAAATAGATGACTTTTGTTAGCATTATAAATAATGCAATATTGCTTGTTGATTGATCAAATTATTTCTGACAAGGCAATGAGTCATCACTGCATAAGATCAGTTGTTGTTGTAATAGTCTAGCGACATCTAAATAGCATATGTTATTGATATCCTCGAAGAGTATTCCCTAAGTACGCACATAGAAGAGGGGATATCTTAAAATTTAAAGTCGTTTCAAAAATATTTTTAAGATCCTCTTCGAAAAATTTAGAATAGGAAGAGGTGAATCTATTCAAGTCATTCAGATGGGAGACAGTACTTTTTATTTCCGATTTACAATTTAAGTTAAAAAAACAAAACCGTGTACTTAAAGAAACATATATCGACTGTCGAAAGAAGACTTTTTCGATTTACTTCATTGAAAACCAGAATAATAGTGAAGCAGAAGTATTCAGAAATAACCTTAGCCATTGGCGACGACAAAAGAACTTTCGCGTTGGCAATGTAGTGCCGAGGATTTAGTTCAATATGTTTCCTCAAGAACATTTTCTAAGTTTGCTTCATTATAAAATCAATATAATGGAACGAGAAACAAATGTTTGAGCCTATCTTCTGCGCTTCGGTAGAACATAACGAATACAGCTTGTCCGGCTAACGGTCAACCAGCATGACAAGAGTTGAGCAGTGAATTTTTCAGAGAGGAAATATCTGATCGTGCTCATGTAAAGTTTTGAAGTAGGTTTTCATAGATTCTGCGTCGATCTATCTGGTTTATTTTTAAAAAATACGAGAAGAAATGATAGTTGCTAGCCAAAATGGCGCATTTTTTTGTCCGAAAACAGCTTGAAAATGCACTTTTGATTTTTATCATATTTCAGTCACTGTTTCGCTTCTGATAAAAATGGAGATATCAGTAGATACGCTGATACCAACTCTTTAGTTTGGGGTCGGTACAACACCTGGGGTTCTTGTCACGATGATAAAAATAGCAATTTTATGAAGCTTCAGAGAGTGGAGTGAGTGCGTTACCAAAGCCGTGAGTGCATTACCATGGTATTTGATATATAGCTCCAGAGTAACAAAATATTTTTCAAAAATTCTTGTTTTCAATAGATAGTCCAGACTCTGTACTACAAACTTGCTCTGGATCGCATGACTTCATTAAGTAAGCACGCTTGGAAAATTTGCAATTTCTGCCATCACCGAAGAAAAAGGGCCTTTTTTGTAAGTGCGTTACCGGCATGTATTTTTCTTATAAATCATGAACCATACAGTTAGTTTAGATGAAACTTTTAGCCATTAAACAATTTCATAGTACCTATCTATGCACAACATTTCAAGGCTCTACGCTTTATTAATTCGAAGATATTGTGATAGAAAGTAGCCAAAACGTGAGTGCGTTACCTACGGACAAGCTCAATATCTTTATTTCTTATTCAAAGTTGACTAGTTCCACTATGTGAAGTTAAAATAATGAAATAAAAACAAGTTTTTATAAAATATAATACTTTTCTACCAAATCTTTACTTATCAACATTTCATTTGACAAAACATGATCGTTAATAAATGTCAAATTATAGAGTGAGAAGGTCGTCATAAGTCTTACATAGGTGTGTAAGCCGATCAGCTAAACTTTCGTTAACACTTAAACGATTTAGCCGCGAATACTGTCGAAGCTTGAGACTTTTGTAATCGTCTATATCTTTTTTCAAGTTGAATTATTTTTTTGAAATAATTATGAAGAAAATTCAACTTTTACATTTGATGATGATCGAAGTGCTTATAGGTATTGTTTCTTTTTTATTATTTTTTGTTAAATGAAAAAGAAAAAAAAAGTTCAATATTTTATTTTGAAAAAATGATATTAGCATTTTATTTCTTGTGTTTTATCTCTAAGATAACGTAATTCATCTGCATTTAATTGATTTGTACTTTCAAGTTTATTTTTTACTTCAGTATGATACGAATTAAGCCAAGTTTTTTGAGCTTCTGTTAACATTTCACATAGAATTAAATTACGTTCAAAAGGAACTAATGATAACATTTCAAAATGAAGAAATTGTATTGTTAAATCACCATAATTATTTGGTAATGTATAATTTTTTACAATAATATCTGTTTCAAGTCGAATACCAAATTGTCCTGGTAAATAAAAACCAGGTTCATCTGAAAATACCATACCATCTGTTAATGGTATATCATATGGACTATAACCCATAGAAATCGATGATGGACCTTCATGAACAGATAAATAATGCCCTATACCATGACCAGTACCATGATTATAATCCATAAAATTTTTATAAAGATTTTGTCGAGTTAATATATCAATATTTCGACCATATGTACCGAATGGAAAAATAGCATCAGCTAAATCGATTGAACCTTTCAAAAGACGAAAAAAAAAATTTCTTTATAGAATTAATAAAAATTTCTTTTCTACCTTGAAGAACAAGTGTATATGCTTTCTTTTGTTCTTCTGTTGGCGTACCAAAAACATGTGTACGTGTAACATCTGTTGTACAATCAAGATATTGTGCACCAGCATCAAGTAAATATAATCCATTTTTAGTTATTAATGCAGCAGTTTTTGCTTTTGGACTATAATGAATAATAGCAGCATTAGAACCAAATGCTGATATAGAATCAAAACTAAGCGTTTGAAATAAATCATCTTGATTTTGAAAATATTCAAGTTGTTCAGCTGATTTTGTTTCATTAATCAATATACTATTATTAATTTGATTCTCAAGCCAAGTTAAATGACGTATACGTGCTACACTATCACGAATACCACAATCACGCATGCCTTTTTCTTCTATTGAATTTTTAATTGCTTTTGTAAATTCAACTGGTGAACCTAGATAAAATTTTAATTTTGTTTTTTTTTATATTTCATATGAATAATAAAATTTACTTGAAATTAAACGTTTTTCTACCGGAATTCGATTAAAAATAGCTTGTGATGCAGATGGTGAAATCCAAATTTGAGAAATATCACTTCGATGAGCTAATATATTAAGATCAGAAAGAAAAGTATCATACGAACGAATATTAACATTATTTAATTGATTAATAGCAGCTGAAGTTAATTGAGTTGAATTCATCCAAACTTGTGTCGTTTTATTAGCATATACAATTGCATAAGCCTAAAAAGAAAATTATTTATTTGTTTTTAATAATTAATCAAAGTAAAATATGAATATTATACTTTAAAAAATGGATTATATGGAATATCAGAACCACGTAAACTCAATAACCAAGCAATTTCATCAAGAGCTGTAACAATATAAGCATTTGCTTTTTTTGTTTGTAAATGTTCAGCAATAATTTTAACTTTTTCTTCCCATGTGATACCTGCATATTTTAATTCATGAATATTAATTTCATTGGTTGTAGGTGATGGTCTCTCAGGTGATTTCCAAATTAAATCGATTAATTCAGTGACTTCAACTAATGAAGCACTCTTTTCATTGAGAATATTATTAACTGTTGACCACCAATTAGATGAAACAAATTGAGCTGCCACACCAACTCGATCATAAGGTGGTGTACTATTGACTTGACTTGATAACCAATTACTAAGTGAAGGTACATTTGTTTGACCTTGCCGCATAAGATACCAATTTGTACAATCAAGTTCATCTTCTGCTTGTGTCCAATATCGACCGTCAGTCCATAAAGCAGCATTATTTAGTGTAACAACAGCGGTACCAGCTGAACCCAAAAAACCACTTATCCATGCTCGTCGTTCATCATATAATTGAACATATTCACTTTGATGTTCATCTTCTGAAAAGATGACATAAGCAGATAAATTATTACTTCTAAGATGAACACGTAAACGTTGTAATCGTTCGGTTGTATTGGCTTGATTTGGTCGTATTTCGCAATTAAAATTTGTTTGTTGACATGTTACAAATCGAACATTATTAACGAAAAGAATAAGACCAATTGTAATAGCAGTTATCATTATTTTTTTCTATGTGGCCTTCACAATCTATTGAGAAATGAATAATGATAACATTATTACTTTTTTTATTTTTAGTTGCCTTTTTTCTCTTTTTTTTTTTCTTCTTTATTATGTTGGATTAGTGTCGAAAGAGAGACAAAAGATTTATACGAATGATAAAACAAAAAACAAAAAATGATTATTATCAAAGACATAAAATTTTATGGGTTAAGAAATTTTGTGATTTTTTTCTTGTCTGATAATAAATCAGCGCTCTTTTATTCGATAACAAATGTTCGATCTTTGAATTTTTCTTCTTTATTATTAGTTTTTTTTTTTGTTAGTTATGCGAACTAAAAAATTAAATATTCCAAATATTGAAGATTATCAAGAATTATTACAAGCATTAGAACATGATGGTAAACATATTGAAAATTTAACTAAAGAAACTATTGAAAAAATTGATCATATGCTTGATGATGATTTATTTAATCAAACAAATCTTAATATTATTCAAACATTTGCACGTGAAAGTGTTGTTAATATTCCAACACTAATAGATAATAAAATAAATGATAATAATTCATCTGATAAATCTCATTTAGTTATTAAATCTAATGAACGATTAGAATTACTTATTGAACATGTTAAACATAAAACATTTTTATTTACGGAAAATGCTGAAAAAATTCGTAGTTTAATTGATCTTAATGTAATGTATAAAAATAATATTGATTATAATATACAATATTTATGGAAAAATGAAATTGTTCAAATGCAAGGACAAATATCTTCAAATCAAATGGATATTTTAATATATTATAGAAATCGTAGTGATATTGGATTGAATATACTTAAACAACCACGTATTAGTGATTATTGGGAACAATTAATTGAAATTGATGAAGATTTTTTCTTTAAACTTAGAATTATACTTTATAATTTAAGATTATTTAATCTTCGATTGTATGATATAGTATATCGTTGGATTTATTTTTCTAATAAAATTATATAAATCAATGATCTAATTGTAGAATTTTCAATTAAATCTAATACTCAAGTTTTCGTTGATTTTGAATGTCACTTTTTATAGATGTTAAATAAAATTTAGATTTCTTCGTTTGAAAAAAAAAAAAAAAAACAGAATTTTTAGTACATATTCTTTGTATTATTCTATCGATTATACGAAACATTGAATGAAATTACAGAATAAATATCATAATCTGCTGATACATAGTCAAAATTGCTGTATAAGATATCTATTTTCTTGTGAAATATTTACAACAAGCGATGCTTTTGTGCAATGGAATGTTTTTTCAATGAGATCTCACATTAAGAAATATGGACTGTTTCTGACCGGAAATTCATCGATCCGGGTGCTGGGAATCATTGATCTGAAATGTCGTATTTTTCTAGGAAAAGTTTATGCTCTACCAAAGATTTGAAAAGAAAATTTTAGTTGACGACTCAAAATCTTCATTATCATATTTGTTATAATTCTTTAACCAAGCCCATTCATTGAACACAAAAAGAAACATATGATAAAGCAAAAAAGGATTAAAGAATGCTTGAACTTATACTTGACTACACAAAAATAAAGGATGAGGGCGGAAAAGACCCTTTTCTGGCCCAAAAAATTTTCGTGTTTTTTGCATTGAAATCATATGAAGGGACTCTCAAGAGTATTTCCACACACTTATTTTTGCGAAATCGACCTGTCAGGTTTTTCGGACCTGGGGTCCCCCCACAGGATCTCGGAAAAAACTTTAGTTTTTTTGATTTTTTCCAAATCTATCTAACTATAGGTAATCCGTCACGCTGATTAAGAATATTTTTATTAGAAATCTCACAAATGTTTTCGAAAGGAATTACGCTCGATTTACCTCCATTTTTCTCGTTGCCCAAAAATAGATTATTTCGATGTGTGTATAGCTTAGAAAACGTCAAAAAAAGTAAGGAGAGTGCATCGACTGCGGAATTTTATGCTGCATCTGAANTGAGTTGTTTTGCATGTTTTTCAAATATCATTAGTTTTAAAAGAATTTTGTCTTATACATTATCGAAGAAAAAGACGTGCCCGCTCCTCCTCTTTCGATTGATGAAAACCGCAGATAGCTAGGTATTGCGGTTGTCGAGTTATTGAGCTTACATTCACCCCTCTTTTATTCTGGCGCGGACATTAGTTTTTGTTCTTTGTTTCTTTCTTCTTACAATTGCTCCAAAGAAAACATATTTTCATCGTTTGACACATGGTAGAAGAAAAAGAGAAGTCTGAGTAACTTTTTCGTTCTTTCGTTTGAGAAAGTGAAGTAAGTTGGAAAAAAGTGAATTGTAAATGAGTGAAGTCAACATCCTCTCAAAATCATGTTTTTCTTTATTTTTTGTCAGTATATTTAGAACCAAAGTTTTTTCTCTTCTATCTAAAATCGTATATACAAATAGTTCTCATTTCAATATAAAGCAGTTTCTAATGGAAAAAATAAGTAAAAAGTCTAGTTTTTTTTTTGTGAGTGGTTCTCTGAAGGTGTTTGTGCGAGCGATAATGAGAATGTGACAAAAGCCAACAATCCTAGATACGAATACACATATCTACACTAAAGATGTGCTGGGTCAAGATTTTTCCAGTCGCAGCACGACTCCAATGAAATTTTGTTTTTGGTCTCGCTTACGTTTTTTTTTATCCCGGTACTTGTTAAGTGTTCTTTTTCTGATTCTGGTCTCGATATCGACTTTAATAGAACGTCCGACGATCAGGACCAAGACTGGTCTTACACATCCATAACAATGAGTGAGTGTGGGTGTGACCAATTCTTTTTCACAACGTACACCCACATCTGAAATGAAAGTTGGCTCATTTATCTCATTGACTCTGTTTCGTGATTTGGATGGTATTAACTGTTAGACAAATGAAGAATACGAAGTTCTATTTACAATAAAAACAGCTTTTAAACATTGACAGTCTTTGAAAAAGTTGAACATTGTCTTTGGGAAATATATTTTAACGTTAATGCGGAACAATGGCAAATAAGTAAAATGTTTCATTGAGCATATGCGAAAAGAAAGTCGGCAACGAAACTATACTGCAACACTATGGAAATTTAAAGTCCAAGATTGACAGGTTCAAATAAACTAGAAACAACTTTCCATGTCACTCTTTAAATGATACCTAATGATCAGTAAGGAGAATGTTGGTACACTTAATATCAGATTGAATGTATTTGTATTTGTAAAAAAACAATCTCTCGATCGAACTCACTCATTACAAATGATCAAATGTGTGATAAAAATCAAACACGAGAACAAAATAGTTTAATTGTATTGCTGCTTTATTTGACTACCATCTCACACGACTGTGAAAATCTATCCGATCCCTATTTACATATTCATGGTCAAACACTAATATTCTTTTTTTCTCATGCGATTAGAATAATCATAAAGTATGTGTGAATAAACGCCACATTGATAATATAATTATTTGTATGTCATGACTGAATCATATATTAAAATTTGTCATTTCAAACATACATTCACGTTCGAATGAGGTATTTCGAAATATGTGTACAATGAGAGTATTCTAGAGAATATTTTTTTAAAAATGTGTATTAAAAATTGTGCATTTGACTTATTGCAGTACTTGTTTCGATGAGATTATATTTGCTCTATAAATTATTGCCTAAAGAATTAATGAGGCTTACTCAGATATAATGATTGCTAAAAATATTTACTCATACAACTTCATATTCGCATAAAAAAAGACCAACGGTGATAATAGTCATCATTTGCCATTTCCTCTTGTGTTTACCTTTTCTTCTAATCATTTCATTTTTTGTCATTTAATTCAGCATGGAACCAGCACATCAGCAACAAGGTAATCAACCTATCAATAATTCTCTTGACAATCAAAAGTAGGTTTAGAATTTTCCAAACTTTTTTATTAGTTATTTTTTGTTTTAGATCGAACAAAACAACAAATACTTGTTCAAAAAATGGAACCGATGCTAACGATGTTGTTCTACCAGAAGACTGCAAACATACTGTAATATGCTGTAAAGCGGCAAAATCAGTTACATACGAATAAAATTAATATTACAAACTCGTATCGATGCTTTTCATGTCTTTTAAATGTCTATCTAATCAAACATATATTACACAAGAAACTTTACAATATGCTTTATCTTCTATTATTTTTTAATGTTCAGTGAATAGAGAAACATTTTTTTAATTGGTTAATCAAAATAAAATGAAAAAAAAAAAACTTATCTACAATCAATTATGTCGTTTTGATTATTCCTTCCTTTTCTGTTAATAATATTTAATGTTTTTCATGTACACATAATAAAACAACGAAAAATCTATTTGCTTTATAATAGACAAAACACTTGTCAATTGCTTTTCTTTGCCTTTATGTAAATTATTTTGGCAAAATGCATCTATCAATTTTTGTAGCATCACAATTAACTACTGAGTTGGATACTAAGAGTTATTTCATTTACAGTTTTTATTGCAATGTTCTTTCATGTATCAAATTGTTTTTTTTTCTTTAATTTCAACTCACACTATTATAGCAGGATATTTTATACTTGACATTAAATGAATGGACTAAATAGGGTGTGGGTGTGATGAAGACTGACACCCGTATGTCCATACTCAAAAGAAGAGTACAGAGAAATATTCAAATAATATGAACAATCATTATACAGAGTGAATTTTCTCTTACTTTCTGTTCGTATTATCCTTTCCTTTCATATTCTTTTCTTCTCTCTAATGCTTGAGTCTATAAGTGTATGCTTTATATGAAAACGATGCGATTATACGATATGAAAGATAAGAATAAAGTTTATCTTCATTCATACTAACATCTCTTCTATCAGAAGTCGTCACATTCGACGACCTTGGTGATCGATCTTCTTACTCCTATGTTCGAAGTTAAGCATCTCCGTCTTGGTTTACCATGTCATCGTTGCATCTCCTTTTTTTTGATCAACACGAAATGAAACGATTATGTTCGAGATGTCGAATTA